AAGAGAAAGATAACAGCTATATACTGTAGCTTAGTTTGCTACTGGAAGAAGCTTATTATAGATCTGTCACATTGCCCATTTATCTTTAATTAGCCACCTTTTGAAACAGTTTTTAAAACAAGTCTCTTCCTTTGTTTACTCTGTTCCCTTTCATGCCTTCTCTGCTTACTGATGCTCACAGACGCTTTAGTGGCTGTGAAAAGAGTGATGCTGCTCCCAAGTGGAATCCTGGCTCTGCTGCGCAGTGTTTTCACAGTCTGAGTCATCGAGCTGATACAACATTAACTAGAAACTCCCACTTCTGTCCCAATTGATAGCATCAGTCTACCTGGTAATAAGACTAGGAAACAGACTGGAAGTGTAATTGCAGGGAGTCTAGGAGTGCAATACTAACCTCCCATTGATTTTTAACAACTCCACTGTTATCCAAGTTACACAGGCAACTCTCTTACTAATATTTAAGACACAAAATAGCCTTTCTATACACTGTGCGTATGTGTTTCTTGTTATCTCCAATGAAACTTTTCGGCGTATAGCAATGGACATCATGCAATACATCACCATGTAATAATCTTTACTTCATTATTTTTTTAAAACAAAAGAAAAAATCTTTCATTTTCAGTAATCTAAGTGTTGTTGCACAAGGCTAAAGAACTCACCTTTTGAGCCTCTGATTTGGCTGTCCTGTTCCCAAAATCCAGGGCAAGGCAAAATAGAAACTCTCGTAAAGATTCTTCTATTTTCCCCACATTAGCCAATGCTTGTCCTTTCCTTAAGTGACCCTGAAAGCAAACAGATCTACAGTTCTAGTTTATTTCCTTTTACCACATTGAGCCTCTTTATTAAAGCAAGATAATTACTATGAAAAAAATTCCAAAAGTGAAATAAAAATAGGCACAAGGCAATTATGATAGTTTGCAGTACTTAAATAACACAAGAGAGAAATATAAGAAGTCTGAGCTTTTAACCACAATACGCCTGAAGATTTTTCATATTTAGCTTTCAGAGAAGTATCGCATCCCTACTCCCCCCACAGATACACATGCAAGTTTACCCTCACAGCATCTGGCCGCAGTTAAAGGCTGGTGTAGTTGAAGTCCTAGGGATCCCTCATCTCTTCATTGGACAGAACCTCCTCCCACAACTTGATCTCCTAACCTTCTCCTTAATGCTTTCTTCTAGCTCAATATAAACACTGCACTCAACTTTTGACAGGGCATTAGAGCCTGACCTCCATAAAGGTCAGTGACAATGGTGCCTAATCCATCAGCCAGCAGCCTGTGCTCCCGGCCCTTCTCCCTAGCCAGAGAACTCATGGAATGTGTTTGAGTTCTACTGATCTAAGATGCTGAGAGTTGAGGCATCTCTCAAATTCAGTTCTTTTGTGCTACAGCATTTGCTAAGCCACCAGGATGGCCAAAGAGGTTTTACCCCTAAAACATTTGTTAAAATTAGAACTTACCTTTGACCAATATGGTTGGAGCCTGCATGCTGTTTCTGCATCATGCAATGCATCTTCATAAGATTTCAAAGTAGAGTTAATCTGGGACCGGTTGCTATATAATAAATGGTCATTTGGAGCTGCAATGGAAACATTGTCTCATTATAATTACTACAAACATTACTGACATGGGCCCTGTTCTTTAGGACTCTTTTCTAAAGAGAAAGAGTTTTTCGAGTTGTCTCAGGAAAAGCAAACACCCAATTACAAAATTAGATATGGCAATCTCACTGGGGATTTCCAGGTACAAAGGTGTCAGATTTATATTATACAACTGCTGTAGACACTGCATACATAAAATTCAGAACAGCTCACAAAATCACTCACCAGCTCAGAGGATCAGATTGTTTATAGAAGCTGACCAGAAAGATTTAAGGTGTGTCATAACTGTATTGTTATGGCCCCATTAATGCTGCCACAGTATAGATGGGATTTTAAAATGGATCACTCCCTTTTCAAAAGGTTTGGGATCAAAAATTGTAAGTGGCACATAACTCTATAATCAAAGGAAATTAAATGACAACCTGAAGAACTCTGTGCAGCTCAACACTTCTTTTTCACTAGCAGAAGTTGGTCCAATAAAAGATATTACCTCACTCACAATGTCTCTAATAACAGCTACCATCAGATAAGTGTTACAGCAGCACAGACCAAATGGCCCCATTGTTTCATACGCTATGTGCTGTAACAGCTAGACACAATGTGGTTTAAGAAAAAATTCTGGTCTTCAGTTAAAGGTTCTTAGTCTGGGATATTCTTTATTGTTACTTTTAACTTTTGTTTTACATTTACGTTTATTTAACACTAAATATTTTGAAACCAGATTATAGTTAACAAGTAATAAATCAGTTTTCTTCGCAACCATTTGTAATGTTTATTACTGGCTTGACATTGTTAAACCGAACAGTGTTTACAGAAGCTTGTTTAGCTGTTCTGTATTACTACAATGTTCCTGTTGGGTGGAGACTGAAGAGGACAGAACTGTCATGAGTTCTAGAAGTGACCTGCATGTATTTCAAGATCAAGCACTAAATATCTAGTAAAATCATTTGACAAGCAAGTCCCTCAACAAAATAGGCCAGGGCATTTTAAATCTTTTTCACTCATTGCAACATGTCCATTAATGATTCACCACGTGATGCTGCGTAAGTTAGATTTGTCAAGAGAGGGAAAGCCCTTTTTAGGCAAAGAGCAGCAACCATCTCCTGAAATAAAGCATATTCCAATGAGCACCATGTAATGGGAAGCTGTGACAATGACTCACTTGTAATTTTGATAAATACGATCAAACCTCTGGGATGCTTTCAGAAACATGACCCAATTTGTTGTTACTTCACTGGTTATACAACCATTCCATAAGAAGGGGGCAGGGAATCCAGACCAGAGTCGCAGGCTAAAAGCTTATGCAACACACTGTTCTCCTGACCTAGTTTCACTTTGGACTTTAAAAAAAACAAAATAATAACAGATTCATAAAAGTTATCCCTCCCCCCAAAAGAGATGTAAATATGATGATATTGGTTTACCCTGTCAAGCTACAAACACCACCAAACATAAAGAGCACCGTTAGGTCATGTATGCTCTGCTGCCTGTAAGTCCCTAGTATGCCTACGACAAACTGTTCGGTAAACGGATTTTAAACTGGCACTAATACAGTCAATACTGCAGAAATGAATAACGTTTGCTTCTTTATAAAGGACTCGGCTTTATAGCATATCCTCGGCACAGCATGCGAACTGCCACACCCACCCCAATGTTATAGCTAGGAATACCTCCCATGGCTGCACCTGGGATCAAAGTCTGTAACTTGCCCTGGTCAAACTACTTGGTAAATAGGCTCGGATTTAAAAACAAGACTATAAATGACACCCAGCAGCAGTTTAAGGAGAAATTTGGTTGCTAGAAACTTGGGCGTCTAACATCCCCTCTGCCTGGCTGTGATCGATCAGTCGCAAAAGTTGCACGTAGAAAAAAATTCCAAATGCTAAGGAGTTAAGTCTTGCAGCATTAACCCCCTTAACTCTGCCCCATGTGAATGGATCGGTGGGGGATCATTTCTGGGGTGGGGGGGTCATTACCTAGGCTGACTGCTTCATTGTACTTCTGCAGGGCAGCTTGCAGCTTCTTCTCCTTATACAAGAGGTTCCCTTCGTGCCTGAGCTGCGACGCCTTCACTTGTCCGGGGAACCACTTGGCCAGCAGGTTGCTGAGGATGACATTGACGCGGAGGTGCTGCCCGGCCGCCAGGCTCCCCTCTTCCTTGCACAGGGCGCAGTGGGACTCGGAGGCCCTGTCCCGCTCCAGGCACTTTTTGCAAAACGTGTGTCCGCAAGGCAAAGAGACGGG